GGCACCATCCTCCCAGCCTCACTCACCTGCCCTGACCAGCGGGCACCATCCTCCCAGCCTCACTCACCTGCCCTGACCAGCGGGCACCATCCTCCCAGCCTCACTTGGCCAGCCGAGCTCTGTGGGCCTCAGAGTGCAGAGTACCTCAAATGTTGTGACTTTGCTCGGCTGCAGGGACGTGCCATGGAGTGTCCCTTGTGCAAGCATTTTGTGAGCTATGCCAGCATCTGTCCCCACAGGCCGCATCCCTGAGCCATTTCTCAGGAGAGCAGGAAGTGAGCAGGGGGAGGGGCGCTGCCAGCCAGCCCTGGGACCAGAGGTCTGGGGATGCAGCCAGCCAGCCCTCCTCATCTGGGCCTCTGTTTCCTCTTGGACACGGGGAAGCAGGGAGGGGCCGATCAGCGACTGAGGCTTGTTGGCTCTGGTGGGGTCCGCCTGCGTTTCTGGAGAGCCCATGGACCCCGGACTGTACCCGGACTTCATTCCCAGTGACCTCTCCTATTGGTCCCCATTTGGGGCACTGAGATATGACTGTTTCTTTCCTGTGAATAAGCTGACATCAAAACATGCTGCAGAGGGAGATGGGCCTTGGGGGCAGCGTCCTGCGCCTCTGCACCAGGAGAAAGGCCGTGTCCCCAGAGGAGACTCAGAGCTGAGGTAGTGGTGGGCAGGGCTCCTGTGGAGCTGGGGCAGGGCAGGGTGTCTCTGAGGTCAGTGAGGAACAGCTGAGCCCAGGGATGCAGGAAGGATGGGGTGCACTCTGGGATGGGGCCAGCAGGGAGCCTCGTGCTTACAGAGCCTGGTGTTGGCACTCTCCTGGTTTCCTCCACAAACCCAGCCACATGGTCAGGGAGCCCGGGCCGAGCAGACGGCCCCCACCTTGACAGAATCCCAGGGTCGTGTATGGAGTGGGAGCGACCTCACAGCCAAGACCGGGCCTAACACTGCTGTCCCGCAGTCACCCCTGCGGGCGGCTCAGGACAGGGCTCCGGCCTGATGGGGGTTCCTGGACACACCTCTGAGCTGGCAGCCCCTACCCACACCCGTGCACCCCTGCACCTTCCATGCCTCTCGCCCTGGGGCCCAGGTTCAGGTTTGTGGGGAGTGCAGCACCGTGCTCCCGTGGCCACCACTCAGGCGAGTGGATTCAGCGAGAGTTTTCAGTGTTTGCACCTCTGTCCCCGTGTGCCTGTTTCCTGGTGAGGCTGGACACCTGGCATGTCCGAACACTCTCATTCCCCAGGCTGGGCACCTGGTATGTCCGAACACTCTCATTCCCCAGGCACGCATGTGCAGCCACTGCCACCCGTGTACTACGGCACTGACCCCTCCTGTAACAGCTGTGGTCTTGGCCTCTCATGTTGGGGCAGATGTCCCCTTTCCCACTGTTACTTTCTGTTGTCCAAAACTTTAACTGTCCTGCCAGCCAAAGCTGTTGAGCATGACTCTGAGACATTTGGTAAGTGTCCTGTGCATCTGGGATAAGCGTCTGTTTTCAGCTGCGCTTCCTGTGACTTGCTCTGTGTGTCCTCCTCGGTCCGCGTGGGCCACTGCGCTGGTTCCCAGCCTGCCCGATATGCTCGCTGCGACGCCTCCCTTCCCTGCTGCTTGCTGGCTTCTGTGTTCTCTGCAGTAAACATTGATTTCTGACTCGAGTGTTGTCTTCATTGATCTCTCTGCACTCTGGGGATGCAGTCAGTGCCCCCCACGAAGGCTACCAGCTGCCTCCCAGGGAACAATGCAGGTGCCGCTTCCCAGGACTGCAGGACCCTGTCTGGTCGCTGCCTCTGATGGGTCTCCCCAAGACCACTCCCTGTTAGCCAGACTCAACAGGAGACTGACGCATAAATGAGAAAGTTGTTCACTAACTCATGATGGGAGCAACCCTTTGCAGTGCAGAAATGTCCTCACACCTTTCAGGCCCCGGATACCTGGGAAGCTGCGGGTTCATTCGGTGGCCTAGTGCCTGCCCTCAGGATGCCCCAGTGGAGGCCCCGGGGGTCCTGAACGCCTTCTCCAGGCCCTCTGAGTTCCAAACAGCACCCGCTTTTGCCCGGTCCTCTGTTCCCTGGCTTGCACCTCCTTCGGTAGGGCAGTTGCTCTCAACCAGGGGCACTTCTGCCCCCGGGGACCACTCAGCAATGTCCGGGATGGTGTTGGCAGTCACAGCTGGGTGGGGGTACCACCGGAATCTGGTGTGCAGAGGCCGGGATGTGTGGGGGTCCTGCCCAGATGCTGCAGGTGAGAGATACAGATTTAGACCCCGTGACGACGAAGGAAAGGACGAGAAAGGTGGCTCTCAAGGCCCCAGGGAACAGCCCAGAGATGCCTGGGGTTCCAGAAGCTAGAAAGGCGTGGAGCGGTCGCTCCTGCAGGAACAAGCGTCTGCAGTGGTTGGAGATGTGGGGACTGGTCACGTCTTCACACACTTGACCAGAACCCTCCCAGCTGTCCCTCCCCTGCAAACAAGCCAGCAAGGCGACACGGTGGCTGGTGCTGGCGAGAGGCAAGTGTACTTGACTGCCTTTCTCCACTCTTGAGGACAGCACCCAGAGTGGCCCCGTCTCTGTCCCACCAGCCCAGGTCTAAAGCTTCCTCATCGTCCGCATCCCAGCCTGGGACTCGGCAGCCTTCTGCCAGCTGTGCTGCACGCAGGGACTGCAGCCACTGACCCCCTCTCCCTTCTGTGCTGCTCTGCTCTACCCCACAGCCCCAAGGAGACCTTCAGTGTGTGTCAGCTCTCCTGCCTCGCTCCCTGCAGACGCCTGTGCCCCCCAGTGCCCTGAGAATGACGTCCAAGCCCCCAGTGGAGGTGTCAAGGCTGTTCTGTCCTCCCCTTGCTCACCACACTCCCCTGCCTGGTCTTCCAAACTCGAACCCCAGGCGACTCCTTCAAGCATCAGACCTCTGCCCAGGGGAGGGGTAGAGCACCTCTCTGTGATGGGCTGCCCCTCCCTTCTGCTGCCTCCCCTCCCTCCTTCCTGCTCCCACCCCCATCTCTCTCTGATGCGGCCCTTAGAGAAGCCTCTTGGACTTTAAGCCTGGTCACTCCTCTGAGCCCCTCGTCTCCAGGTGTGGTCTAAGAAGTGCTCTCAGTCCCTCTACTCCAGTGGCTCGGGGGCTCTGACCAGCCCTCCTGCCCAGGAAGCTTTGAACTTTCCCACAGGGACCCCTAGAGACAAGGGCACTGCCTGTCCAGATGGCACCCTCACACCAACCCCAGCAGCACTGGTTGGAGCAGGCCAGGCCTGTGTGGGTATCTGAACAGGCACTGAATTCCCTGATCTCAACAAAAGAAGCCCATGGAGGCCTTTTCTAATCCACAGCCCAAGGGGACAAATCCAGACAACAGGCCTGGGGGGCTGTGGGCCGACTCCCAGGACCAGGGGCTCTGGGGCTGTTTGGGCTCAAACCCCGATCCCCACCTCCCAGCTTAACAAACACCAGCTCATTGTTTACAGTGAATACCCAGCAAAACCCTGCTCAGGCAAAGAGCGGGGACCTGCTGCTCCAACAGACCAGGCTGGCTGCTGGCTCCCAGCTCATTAAATCAGCAACCCTTGCACTGCCTCCAAAGCCCTGGTGGGGGAAGGGGATTCTTCCACTCTGATTACACCCGTTCCCTTCTCCCTTCACTCCTGTGAGCTGGCCAGGCTGAGGACCTGTCCAAGGGGCCTGGGAAGTAAGACGCTCCACAGCTTCTCAAAGGTCAGCCGACATGGACGGTAGCTTCGGTGACTCAGCTTCCCGTGATGCGCTGGATGCATGGGGAGCTGATGACAACAGCCTGTGTGTGTGACAATGTCAAGAACTACATACAAAGACACAGCTGTCCCCCAAAATGAGTCTGCACAGCCCGGTGCAATGCAGCTGCAGCCTGTCATCGAGTCAATTGCATTGTCATCTGCCGCTCTCCTAATGTAGGTTCTGTTTTTGTCCATTTTGCACTGCTATAAAGGAATACCTGAGGCTGGGTAAGTTGGCAGGCGCCTGTAGTTGCAGCTACTTGGGAGGCTGAGGCAGGAGAATGGCATGAAGCTGGGAGGCGGAGCTTGCAGTGAACCGAGATCGTACCACTGCAATCCAGCCTAGGGGACAGAGCGAGACTCCGTCTCAAAAAAAAAAAGAAAGAAAAAAAAAGAAAAGAGGTGCTGGGCGCGGTGACTCATGCCTGTAATCCCAGCACTTTGGGAAGCTGAGGCGGGTGGATCACCTGAGGTCAGGAGTTCAAGACCAGCCTGGCCAACATGGCGAAACCCCGTCTCTACTAAAAATACAAAATGAGCCAGGTGTGGGGTACATGGCTGTGATCCCAGCTACTTGGGAGGCTGAGGCAAGAGAATCGCTTAAACCTGGGAGGCAGAGATTGCGATGAGCCGAGATTGCGCCAGTTGCCCTCCAGCCTGGGCGACAAGAGCGGAAACTCCATCTCAAAAGTAAATAAGAAAGAAAAGGCCGGGCGCGGTGGCTCAAGCCTGTAATCTCAGCACTTTGGGAGGCAGAGGCAGGCGGATCACGAGGTCAGGAGATAGAGACCATCCTAGCTAACCCGGTGAAACCCCGTCTCTACTAAAAAATACAAAAACTAGCCAGGTGAGGTGGCAGGCGCCTGTAGTCCCAGCTACTCGGGAGGCTGAGGCAGGAGAATGGCGTAAACCCGGGAGGCAGAGCTTGCAGTGAGCTGAGATCCGGCCACTGCACTCCAGCCTGGGCGACAGAGCGAGACTCCGTCTCAGGAAAAAAAAAAAAAAAAAAAAAAGAGATTTGCTTGACTCACGGTTCAGATCAGGGTTCAGAGGGTGCTGCTGTTCCCTGGTCATACTGTATAAGAAGAGGCTTCTGGGGAGGGCTTAGGAAGCTTTTAATCACAGCAGAAGGCAAAGTGGGAGCCAGCGCATCTGTCACATGGTAAGAGCCGGAGCAAGAGAGGGGTGGAGGCACCAGGCTCTTTTTAACAGCCAGCTCTCGTGTGAACTAATGGACTGAGAACTCACTCATCACCAAGGGAAGGGCACCAAGCCACTCATGAGTAATCCCCTGCATGACCCAGACACCTCCCACCAGGTCCCACCGCCACCATTGGGCCACATTTCCATGAGATGTGCAGGGGGCTCACCTCCAAACAGTATCAGATATAGTACTAGTTCTTTTTTTTTTTTTGAGACAGTCTTGCTCTGTTGCCCAGGCTGGAGTGCGGTCTCAGCTCACTGCAACCTCCGCCTCCTGGGTTCAAGCAATTCTCCTGCCTCAGCCTGCCAAGTAGCTGGGATTACAGGTGCCTGCCACCGTGTCTGGGTAGTTTTTTGTATTTTTAGTAGAGACAGGGTTTTACCATGTTGACCAGGCTGGTTTTCAACTCCTGACCTCAAGTGATCCACCCACCTCAGCCTCCCAAAGTGCTGGGATTACAGGTGTGAGCCACCGCACCCAGCCAGATATAGTACTAGTTCTATAGGATGGTCCAGGTTGGGGCACAGATTTTTGCATGAACATTAGTTTTCACCCAAGAGTGACACGCTCAGTCACATGGTAGATTTACTTATAACTTTTTTTTTTTTTTTTTTTGAGATAGAGTTTTTGCTCTTATTGCCCAGGCTGGAGTGCAATGGCGTGATCTTGGCTCACTGCAACCTCCGCCTCCCAGGTTCAAGCGATTCTCTAGCCTCAGTCTCCCGAGTAGCTGGGATTACAGGTGCCCGCCACCACACCTGGCTAATTTTGTATTAGCCAGAGATGGGGGAAAGACGGGGTTTCTCCCTGTTGGTTAGGCTGGTCTGTTGATCCGCTCGCCTCAGTCTCCCAAAGTGCTGGGATAACAGGCGTAAGCCACCGCGCCCAGCCCTACTTACAACTTTTTTAAAAACTGCCAAGCCAATTTCCAGAATGGCAGCACCACTTTGCCTTACCACTGGCGATGTCCCAAGCTGCTCCGCGGCCTCAGTGATACTTGGCACTTGTTAGTAGTTTTTACCTGAGCCACCTGGCAAGTGTGCAGTGGCACCCACCGCGATGCTGGCCAGCCCTTCCTTGACAGCCATCCCTTTTCGAGCCTATTGCCATCCGTGCCCTCTTCGGTCAAATGTCTGTTGCGGCTCTTGCCAATTTTCTAACTGGAATGTTTGTTTTCTTACGGTGGAGTTTAGAGATTTTTATATATTATCGGCCTGGGGGCTCCTCCTCCACCCACACAACCCTGAACGTCCGCTCTGGCACCAGGCAGCTGCTGCCCATCTGGCTCCCCGCCCTCTGTTCCGCGCGCCCCTCCAGCTGGGGGGTCTCCTCGCCTCGGCTCTCTGCACCCCTGCTCAGAAGGGTCAAAGAACCCTCCCCCGGCCGTTTGTTTATCCCAGAGAGGGACGGTTTTATCTTTTCGGGTCGTAAACACAGAACTGAGGGAGAAACTGGCTGAACAAGAGGAAAATGAGGAAGGAGTCCATGAAGGGGCTTTGGGGAACCTGTATTGACGTCCTCGGGCTCCGGGGAGGCCCCTGGAAATCAGGCAGAATGAGGGCGCTGGGACCCCCCCGCCCCCGAGGGGAGCGAGAGGTCGCGCGTCTTGCAGCGGTTCCCGGCGGCCATCGCTGCGCACACATCCCGAGGAGGGAACCCAAGAGCGCGGCGGGGTGGACTCGCAAGCTGGACGTGGAAGCGACCCCGGGGCCTGGAGTGCACGGAGGCGGAGGGGAGCGTGGGAACGGCGCCGTCAGCTCCCGAAGCCCGGCCGTGGGCGCGCGGGCGAAGGCCTGGCCCCCGTCGGGAAGGAGGCTCCGAGGCGCCGGCTTCTGCGCCCTACGCGGCGCCGCTCCCAGCGCCCGGGCACTCTGCAGGCGCGGGCGGGATCCGGGCCAGCGTGAACGCGAAAGCCACGCGCGGGCGCAGCCCACGAGGGGAGGAGCGGGGCGGGGAAAGGCCTCCTCTTGCATCTCGGCCCCGCCCCCACTTGGCCACCGAGGCGTGCAGTCTTCCCGAGGCCCAGAGCGTCCCGGAAGTGCGCGCTGGCTGGGCGGAGTGGGGCGGGGCTGGGCACTTCCGTCCGGCGCGCGGCGGCCTCCTCCCGCTCGGAAGGTGAGTGGGTGCGGGCGGCGGCGGTGGTGGCGGTGGCTCCTGGCGCCTGGGACAAGCCCAGTCCGAGCTCGTGCGCCGTCCTCCGCGGTGCAGCCCTGCCCAGCCGGGCCGTGCGGCCCCTGCAGCCGCCGCTCGCCGTGACCTTGGCCTCGGGCCAGGCCCGGGGAGCAGGGTGGGCTCCTGGGGGTCGCGGGGCAGCAGCGGACCGCCCCGCCCAGTGGCCCTGGCGATCGCGGGTGTCCGTTCGCAGGGCGCCTTTCCCAAGCACCCGGTGACGGCCGCTGTCGTCGTCCCCACTTTGCAGATGGGAAACTGAGGCCCGGAGGTCCCGCCGCTCGGGAGCGTGGAGCCGCCGGACCCCAGCGCCGCACCGCCGGGCAGATGCTCTCTGTGCCGAGCTCCCGGCGATCGGGTCCGCTCCCATGGGGCTGGTAACAGAGGGGCAGAGGATGCTTCCCCCGAGCCACTGGCAGGAGCGCCCCTCCCCCTTCAGCCTGGAGCTCAAGAGTTTGTGCGTCCCTGAGGGTGAAGGGGCGTCCACCCTGTGACGGCCGCCTCCGCTCAATCCTGGGGGTCACGCCAGGGTCGGGGTGATCGAGTAGGCCCTTTTACCAGATGTCCCCAGTAAGTTGACTAAGTAACTTGAGATGTGACTTCAAGGTGGAGGACCTGCACCCAGTGGTCACTTACCTGGCGACCCGACCCTTCCCATCATTAGTGGATGGAGGCTGGCCCAGAAGGCCGGGCACTCGGGTGGGCCGTGTGGGAGCTGCCTCTCCTGCTTCCTCGAAGTAGGCACTGCTGTCCTTATATCTGAGTCTCCGTTAACTTTTGTCTATTCTTCCCGTTCCTTTCTTCACTCCCTGCCCCAGATTAGGAGTTCCTACTCTATCACAGTATGAAAGAAAAGTCAGTTCTCACATTGGACTCATACCATTTTTGCAAAGCAAACTAAGAAGTATCTTGGAGCCCTGAGTGAGTCTCCCAGCGCTGCGGCAGGGCTGGACTGGGAGATTCCAGCCTGCAGCCTCTGATGGCTCTGTAGGGTCTGAAGAAGAGGGTTCCCCTCTCTGGAAATGCCTCTCTTTTGCTGTTCAGGAAAAGCCTTGTTAAGATTTCCTCCAAAACACTCGTGCGCCAGCAGGCATGGTTCGGTTTTCAGCCTTCCCACAGGGCCAGCAGCTGAGGTTTTTCTGGAAGACTCTCTATGCCTTTCTCTGGGGGAGGGATGATGCCACGGGTTGGAAGGAGATGCCAGAGCCTCCGCTGGGACAGGAGCTTTGCTTCAGCCCCCACAGGTGTCTGCTGTGCTGCCCAGGTGGTGGCTACTTCCTAAGCGCTCCTTCCAAAGCATTACTCCTTTTGTTATTGTTGTTTGAGACAGTCTTGCTCTCTTGCCCAGGCTGGAGTGCAGTGGCTGACCTCAGCTCACTCCGCCTCCCGGGTTCAAGTGATTCTCCCGCCTCAGCCTCCCAAGTAGCTGGGATTACAGGCGCCCACCATCACACCCAGCTAATTTTTGTATTTTTAGTAGAGACGGGGTTTTACCATATTGGCCAGGCTGGTCTCAAACTCCTGACCTGGTGATCTACCCGCCTCGGCCTCCCAAAGTACTGGGATGACAAGCGTGAGCCACCGCGCCCGGCCACTCAAAGCATTAATCCTTACTGAATAAACGTGCCAGGTGCCCTGACTGCTTCACCCCAGGCGTTACGTGTCCCTGTGGGTTCACCCACCATCCTTGCTCCTCGTGGAGTGGATAAATCTCCATCTCCCCTTGGGGAGCTGGCATGTTGCCTCCTCCTGCACCGTCGCCCCCACATTCCTCTCAATCCCCTCATCTGCCATGGTTTTCATTTTCCCCAGGTCCCAGGTGTGACACCTTCAGCAGGTCTCAGGGAAGATGGCAGCCCTAGGGGACGTTCAGAAGTCCCCTTCTGTCCCGTCCCCTGTCAGTCTCTCATCACCGGGGACACCTGGAGCCCAGCACCACGAGCCTCAGCTTCACCTCCATGGGCATCAACATGGTACTCACCCAGCCCGCTGTGCACCCTCCACCCAGCATCCCCTGCCCTTACGTCCCCTGCCCCATCTCCTCCTGACCTGCCACCCTGGCTGACTGAAGCACCTCCAGACACCTGTATGCAGCTCCTTCAGCAGCTGGGGTTCCCGCACCCTCAGGCCAGGGGCTGGGCACGGGTTGGGTTGGGAGAGCAGTGGCTGAAGCTGGGGCCAAGCCTGAGCTCTGGCTCCCTAGGGATGGTTCCCCGCATTGTTTCTTTCCTGAGTTGCGGTATAGGAGGGAAAGTGGCCTCAAAATCTGTGTCCGCCGTGACCAGGAGCAAGGCATGGCCCCTCTGAGTGTTGTCATTCAGGAAGTGCAGCAGCCAGAGTCCTTGCCAAGCTGGTTTGGGTGTGGTTCCCCAGACCCGCAGGGACAGAGGGCCGGCGTCACTCCACCCCTGATGGTATGGCCTCATGGTCACATGGCAAGCCCTGGGAGTTGAGGTGTGGGGGAGTCCCAGCCCCGTGGTGCCCCAGGCTCTGCTCCCTCTCAGAGGTCAGGGATCCTGAGGCTCCATCTCTGCTGGGTGTTCCACAGGAGGCCTGGCCTCACGGCCCTCGTGGCCCAATCCAGCACATGAGCTGCTGACAGCAGGGGCAAGGCCCCACATAGATCAAGCCTGGAGAGCCTGTGTCTGGCCCAGGAATGGGGCGACCTGGCACAGGGTTCTCCCTCTTGGGGAGTCAGCATCCTGGTGGCTGAAGGGACCGCTGAGGCTTGTGGAGAGCAGCTGCACTGCATGGGGCCCTCAGGTGGGCACTCAGATGAGGACAGAGAGGCCAGGGGCTTCCCCAACGAGCCAGGACCAGGGTGGGTTAGAGGAGCAGGGAGCCAGGCGGCTTGGCATCCACTCCCCGAGGAGCAGGAGCCTGCAGCCCTGCCATCTCCACTGCTGTGTCCCAAGCAACTCCCCAGGGACTGTGAGGAGCTGGGAAGGGGCGCCCGTGGGCTGCCTGGGCTGCCTGTCCTGGTGGACCTGGCCAGGGGCTACCTAGAAGGATCCCGAGCCCCTGCAGCACACACTGTGGCTGGGCCTCCAGCCGATGCCCCTGAGGGCCATGCTCCTCACCCCTTATTGAGTCAAAATCTCAGGGCCCACCCTTGCCCTCTCATGTCACCTGTACAATGGCTGAGGGAAGTCCTCTTGTCCTGTTACCAGTGGGGACACAGAAGCCCAGAGACAAGGCCAGGAGGCCAGCAGACTCAGGGCACGCCCTGGCACTCCCCCCTCCCGCCCCCCGCCCTGGGCCTGGTGAGGTGTGATTTCTCCAGGGGGATAGTCTTCTTGGGGAGGGCACAGCCCAGCAGATCATCTTAGCACAGGACACAGGCTGAGGGGGCTGCACGCCAGGTTCTGCAGGATAAGAAGCTGATGCCCAGGCAGAGGGTGGGCCTGGGGAGCATGGAGGGGCCTCGGGCCGGGCCCCCTGAGCCTGCAGGGTTGCACTACCCCCAGCCCTGTCTCCACCAGCCATGGGCAGTCAGGCCCAGAAAACCAGGCATGAGTCCCCAGCCCCACAGGCCTGGAAGCCTCCTGGGCACTGAAGCCATGTCCGAGTGCCCTGAAATCCCCAGAGGTTTTGCCCCATGGGAGGGAGTGGGGGCTGCACCAGCAGCTTCTGCCCTCTCCCTGCTGTACCAGAAACAGCATCCAGGGAGGACAGACAAACTCGGCCCTGAGAACGGCAGGTGTGGCTGCTTCCCCCCAGCAAGAGACTGCGGAGGCACAGTGGGGCCTGGGGCCAGGTAGCCAGAGCCAGATAAGGGGGTGGCCTTCATCCCCTCCTCATGCTGATAGGCCCAGTGTAGAGCGAACGGGGCCAGGCCGCAGCAACGGGCGGCCTCTGTCACAACTTCCAAGCACTGGGTGAAGGCAGGGGCTGCTTCCGGGCATTTCCAGCTTCCTCTGCTCCTTGGGAATGCCCTGGGGCCACAGATTCCTGAGCAGAGGAGGCCTCGGGGTTTCTGGAAATTGTCCAGGGCTGTCCTGCCAGTTAGGGGCCAAGCCAGGACTCGGAGCTGCAGCCTCCCAACTCCCAGACTGCAGTGGGCCAGACCAAGGTTCCTGGGGCCCACCCCAGGCACACGTCACCTCCGGAGCCTCTGGTGGGTGCCTGGCTGGGCATGCTGAGCCCTGGGCTGTGAGGTGTCAGGGAGCAGAGGAGATCCCGAGGAGGAGCTGTTTATCAGTGGGGAGGGTAGTGAGGGGCATGGGGAGCGGCCGGGGAAGGTTCTCTGCAGTGGTTCCTGCAGACATGAAGCTGGGGTCCCACAGCAAAGGGCTTGGGGCCATGGCCTAGCCCAAGCCTTGTGGAGCAGGGAGACCAGGCAGGTGGGAACAGGACACAGTTCCTCATTTCCCAGGACCTCTGTGGTCCCCACGGACACACAGATCAGGGGCTGGGCTGGGCTTGGGGGACTGAGGGTCCCCACACAGCTCCTGAGGGATTGTGTTGTGCCCCAAGGCCACGCCCACCAGAGCCAGCACCGCCTGCACCGGTTCTGGAAGGTTTGCCCAGGGGTCCTGCAGGTGGAGGGGAAGTCTGTGGGCAGGAGGAAGTGAGGGAGGGGAGGCCCGGGACCCTCGGGGGCTTGCAGTCCTGTGGGGGTTACTGAGTGCCCAGGCTGGTGGGGAGGACCCCATGGGTAGGGCAACGGCACCCCGCGACAGGCACAGCATCTTTCCACATGGAGTGCCTGGCCCTGGCACCTGAGATCTGGACTCTAGGTGCCCACTGACCACCCCCCAGCGCCTAACTCACCTGGTCCGGGCCCAGGCACACAGCACTTGCTGTGCCATTTTATACACAAAGAAAGGCCCCTCCGGCCAGGAAAGCACCCACCTCCCGCCCGTCCCAGCCGCGCACGGCCACCTCCCGCCCGTCCCAGCCACGCACGGCCACCTCGCCTCCACCTGGAAGACCAGCCCCAGCAGGTGGCAGCCCTGGTGTTTCTGCACTTCGGGACACACTGTCCTGTCCCAGCACAGCAGTGGAGGGGCACTGGCTGGGCGAGGGGTCAGGGAAACTGAGGCAGGGGTACTTCTGCACAGAGCCAGTGGGGTGGGGAGCAGGGTCTGGGTGTCCACCCTGCAGAGACCTGGCACAGCCCGGGCACAGCCAGCAGGTGGCAGGTGACTGAGCTTTGCAGAAATGGCCCGAATGTGGGCAAGTGTCAGGAGCCAGGGTTAGGCAGTGGAGTGACAGTGACCCATACTGTGTGCGGCCCACACCTGACCCTAGGCCACCCCATCCTCCTCTAGAGAAGGTCCTAGGAAGTGCTTTGCTACATGAATGGGGCGGGTTCCCAGGGAGCTGGGGCCATCCTGAGTCCGCTTGTTCCGCAGCAGGGTGGAGACAGTGCACACCACCTGGCATCATTTGACTCTGAGGGTGTCTCTGGGCACCCGTACAGCTGGCAGCAGCTTTGGCGTGCTTCCTATCTTGGTAATGTCACTGGTCCTCTTAAAGTGACAGCCCGGGGAACATCCCGCCTGTCAGTGCTGGGGCATGGCCCCAGGAACAAAGCTGGAATCGGGGTCACTTTCTTTCTCAAAGTGCTGCCAGGTCCCCTCCAGTGGCATCCCAGTGCAGGGCAAAGGTGGCAAGGCTGTCTCAAGAGAGGTGATGCCCTCACCGCCCCCTCCGCCGGAGCACGGCGCTGGAGCCTGCCCTGCATTTGGCCATCTGTAGAACAAGCCAGCTGCCCTGGCTGCCAGGGGATGGTGACATGGTGGCCACGAGCTGGCGGTGAGGGTCACAGCCCAGAGAGGCCAGTGCCCCCAGGCCTGTCCCCACGTTGGGGAGCGTATCTGAAAGGCCTAGAGGTGGTTTGGGACCCCCCCACATCCTGCTTTGGGGCAGCCAAGCAGCTGGACCCTCGGCTCCCGAGGAAGGGACGTCGCACAGCCGCCCCCACCTGCTGAACTTCCCAGCCCTTCATGTCAGGTCTGCCCTCACTCCTCAGCCTGGGCCCGGAAGGTCTCCCAGGGGCCGACCTGAGGGCGGGTGGGCGTGTCGGGTGATTGAGTGGCTGGCCAGGCTGGGGAGGTCCGCCCTCCGTGGTGGGCCAAGCTGGTCACCCCACTGCAGCCGGGGCAGGCCTGCCTGAGGCTGGAAAGTCCCATGAAAGGCTCACAGCCAGGCACTGTGTTACGGACATGGTGTGGGCAGGAGCCTCTGCCCACCCCAGCCCTGCGTCTTTCTGTGCCCATCGCTGCATTGTCATCGCTGGGGGCACCCAGACTCGGCCTCGTGGGGCAAAGAGACACCCCTGTCCTTGAGTACAGCTCCCAGCCACCCTACCTGCTATGGGCAGAGGGCAGGTGAGACCCCCAAAGGGGCCTGGTGCCCCTGCCAGTGTGAGGAGAGCTGACTACTGGCCTTGGGCAGCAGAGCCCGCGCCCCTCCCTCTTGCATCTGCTCCTTGAGTGTTAAGGCCATCCCCCCACCCTGCCCCCACCAAGTCTTGGGTAGAAGGAGGGGGTCTTGGTCCTGGGTGCCCAAGCCTGGTGTGCCCAGGGGCAAGGGGCTCATGGATGGGCCCAGCCCATTCCTCAGTCTCTGCCTGAGGAAGCAGGGGGCCAGTACACTGAGCCTGCTGGGAACAGCTACTTCTGCTGTTTCTGGGTGCTCATCAGGGACAGTGGAGAGCCCTGGAGGGACAGAAAGGCCCGGGGCTGAGGGAGGGAGGCTTTGTGAGGTGCCTGTGTGGGAGCCTGCGGGGCCAGCACTTTGAGAGGCCACTCCAGAGCAGCACTGCAGGACAGCGGGGCAGGGAGGAGGGCTGGCCACAGCCAGCCAAGGTGACAAAGCCACCTTCAGCAGCAGGAGGGCCACTTCGAAGCTACCCCAGGTTTGGGCTGTGCTTACTGGGCTGAAGGGGATGAGCTCCCAATGCTGGCCCCTGGAGGAGGAGGCTCTTGAACCCAGTGGGAAGGAAGGTAAAGGGCGTTCGTGGCTAGAGAAGCCCGAGCAGCAGGCCTGCTACTGGGATTGGGAGGGCCAGGAGCACGTGGCAGTCAGAAAGGAGCAGGGGCAGCGGTCCGGAGGGTGGAGGTGAGCCCCAGCCTCCCTGCCCCCCAGGCTCCCCGAGCTCCAGCCCTGAGGTGTTGTCCCAGCCATCTGACCTGGATCTCCAAGACATAGAGGAAGTGGAGATCGGCAGAGACACCTTCTGGCCCGGTGAGTGAGCAGAACTAGGTTACTAGGTGACCAGAGCTCTGTGCGTGGCAGGCCCCTCACAATGCCCACCGCTGTGGCTCCCCCAATGCTGGCATCACCCCCTTCCTGGGGCCCCTTCTCTTCCCTGGCACCTGCTCAGCTCTGCCCTGTGGCCCCTCCCCCATTCTAATGCCAGTCCAGTCACTGATGCTTCCCGAGGTGGTGACTGCAGCCCATTGCCACCTGCCCCAGTGGCACCACGTGGACTCCTGCCAGCCCCAGCCAGACATAGTGAAGCAGGAACTCCTCCCTCCCCTCCACCTGCCTCAGGCTGGGGCCTCTGGCTCAGAGCACCACTGTCCCCCCAGATCCACCAGAGTTATCCTTGGTCCCCTCCTACTGCATCCCCTAGATGGCCTCCCCTCAGCCTGACTGGAGCTGTGTCAATCCAGGTCCCCTGCACCTCCCCCTTGAGAAGCCGCCTGGGTTCCCTCCAGGCGATGTTACTGATACGGCTGGATTTAACAGTGCTGAGCCCTCGCCCACACCTGGGTGGCCCTGGGGTGGGGAGCAGGTGTCTGAGGTCAGGTCCCTGGGAGGAGACCCTGGGCCAGAGATTTGCGTGGGAAGCTCCTGGGATGGGCATGGGAGCTGGGCGGCAGGGCACTTGCCACCGAGGCCTGATGCAGCCCCATGAGGAGCTGTGCCCATACAGACCATATCCTCGGCCAGGGCTTGAGAGCGCCCTCTGGAGGTTTGGAGTCCCCCAGGTTCTGGGTCCTCACCAGCACTGAGTGCTTTCTCCTGGCTACGGTCTGTCTTGCCACCGTGGCTGCGTGCCCTGGCACAGCTGCCGTGGTGACTGTGGATGGTCCCAGCAGCTCTGGGTCACCCTGCAACGCCCCCCACACCTGTGTCTATGACAGCCCTTCCGGGCACGGCACCCCGAGCCCCTGTCCGCTTGTCTCCCATCCACTGGGTGCCTGGCCCCTCCTCGTCCCCTCTGAGCACCCCTGTCCAGCTGTGCTCTCAGCCCCTCCCCGTCCCTCCATGTCACGGTGAGGGCACGCGGGTACTATCCGCCTCTGCCGTTTCTCATTTCAGACTCCGAGCCCGAGCCGGAGCAGGCTCCACGCTCTCCCGGCTCTCAGGCCCCTGACGAGGGGGCGGGCGGGGCGCTGCGCAGCCTCCTGAGGAGCCTTCCCCGCAGGGCCCGGTGCGGCGCTGGCTTCGGGCCCGAGTCCAGCGCGGAGCGGCCGGCCGGCCAGCCGTCTGGGGCCGTCCCCTGCGCCCAGCCGCGGGGCGCCTGGCGCGTGACGCTCGTGCCGCAAGCAGCGGCCGGGCCCGAGGGCGCGCCCGAGCGAGCCGCCGAGCTGGGAGTCAACTTCGGTCGGAGCCGGCAGGGCAGCGCGCGGGGGGCCAAGCCGCACAGGTGCGAGTCCTGCGGCAAGAGCTTCAAGTACAACTCGCTGCTGCTGAAGCACCAGCGCATCCACACGGGCGAGAAGCCCTACGCCTGCCACGAGTGCGGCAAGCGCTTCCGCGGCTGGTCGGGCTTCATCCAGCACCACCGCATCCACACGGGCGAGAAGCCCTACGAGTGCGGCCAGTGCGGCCGCGCCTTCAGCCACAGCTCGCACTTCACGCAGCACCTGCGCATCCACAATGGCGAGAAGCCCTACAAGTGCGGCGAGTGCGGCCAGGCCTTCAGCCAGAGCTCCAACCTGGTGCGCCACCAGCGGCTGCACACGGGCGAGAAGCCCTACGCCTGCAGCCAGTGCGGCAAGGCCTTCATCTGGAGCTCCGTGCTCATCGAGCACCAGCGCATCCACACTGGCGAGAAGCCCTACGAGTGCGCCGACTGCGGCAAAGCCTTCCGCGGCCGCTCGCACTTCTTTCGGCACCTGCGGACCCACACGGGCGAGAAGCCCTTCGCGTGCGGCGCCTGCGGCAAGGCCTTCGGCCAGAGCTCCCAGCTCATCCAGCACCAGCGGGTGCACTACCGCGAGTAGCCCGGCGGGGGCTCGGGGCGAGGCCTCCTGCCTGCCCCCACGGTGGGCATTGCCCAGCACCGCGTGCCATGTGTCTGGAATAAATTCTTTTTGATTGTTGGAAGTGGGAGCCGGCACCTGCCTGGGTGAGGCCTTGGGGCAGCTTCCCATCCCCAAGGACCCGCTGCAGGATGGGGTTGACGGGGCTGCTTCACCAAGACCTGCCACGCAGGGCCACGGGGTCCCTGGAGCCTGGCGGGCGGCCCGAGTGTCCTAGGGGAGGGTCTAAGGCCTGGAGGTGTCCTGACTTGTCCAGAGCCCGGAAGTAGTCAGGTCTGCCTGACGCTGATACCCCACGATCAACACGGGGGGCGCGCCCAGAGCAGGGGGTGAGGACAGGGCCGGTCTAGAAGTGTCCACAGGTCTAGCCAGGCTGCCTGTCTGCCACCTGGGCGAGGGGTCTCCAGCAATTCGGTTTCCTTATGTAATTGGGAAGCCTCTGCTTCTGTCAAATGCAGCAGGCTCTTCCCCACGTGCCCTCTCAGCTCTGCTGCCTCCTCCCCCTGCCTCCATTCAGCGGGGAGCCTGCTGGGCAGCAGTGGCCCGGGCCTCCTCTGCACCAGCCCCTTGCCCTGGGATGTGGGGGCCCAGGTCTTGACAGGTGTGGGCTGGTACAGCTGGGCCTGCCAGGCCCTTTTCAGAGCTGCCGGGACACTGCTTCTGGGCAGGGGAATCTGGGCCACGAAGCTCTGGGAGACGTGCTGAGTGCCAGTGATTCTGCCAGCGCCTTCTCCCTGCCCTGTCTGTGCCCTCCGGTACAGCTGGCAGACCCCGGACTCCAGCCTGGCTCCTCCGAGGCTGCCCCTCTCCAGGTCTCACCTCCCCTCCTGCTGTGACTCGTCCAGAACGCCGGGCCTGGTCCCCAGATGTGCCTGTGGCGGGCCTGTGAGGTCACTGTCCTGTCGAAGAGAAAGGCTACCGTCCCCGCTTTTTGGCGGTGCCTGCGGAGGCCTGCACAGTGCGCATCTGATGTCAGCCCCCAATTTTTCCAGAGAAGAACCCGGAGGCTCCGAGGTGACCCGTGGCTTGCTCGAGGTCACACGATCAGTGACGGCACCAGATGAATCCCCGAGCTCCCTGACCAGCCATCCACCCAGACCCCTGCTGAGACAGCGGGACCTCGTTTCCAACTCGGAAGCCCGGGGAACGCGGCTGCCCGGACTGGGAGCCCGCGGCACAGGGCCCTGTGCAACCCCTTGGGGAAGGCGGCCCCAGGCTCCGCCAGCCCCCGCCTCCCTCTCCAGGCCATGCCCTGGGGGCCCTATGGACTCCGCCGGGTGAGAACGAGTTTAGGGGTGCGGGCTGGAGGTCAGTGTGTCTGTCCGAAGTCAGCTGGGAGGCAGGCGCCTACTTGAGGCTTCCGTGCTGGTGTGCGGTGGCCCTTGGGTTCAGACTGTCGGCCTGAAAGGTAAGGGTGAGAACGCCTGCATTCTCCTTGTTCAGTAACACGCGTGGGCAGCCAGGCCGAGGGGCTGGCTCTGCAGGGACCGCCCCGCGCGCCCCCGACTCCCCGGCTGAACTCCCGCTCGCAGCGACCGGAGAGAGCCCGGCGGTCCTCCACGCCGTCCTAGACAGTCCCGGAAGTGGCCGCGGCGCCGGGAGGGGCGGGGAGGGGGCGGGGCCAGGCGCACTCTCCGCAGCCCGCACGAGACTCGAGCAGCGCCAGCTCACGGGAGGCTTCCCGGGGGAAGGGAGTGTGGCGCGGCGAGTCTGGCAGGGCTGCTCCTACGCGCCAGGTCGTAAACCCTCTGCAAGGTCTCTGTGTACCCCCTCGTTGGGCAGGGCCCGCGAGATGGGCTGAAATGGCATTTGCGTCTTTCCCAGTGTCCTCAGCTCCTTCTCGAAGCCCGCGGGCACGAGGCTGATTCTCGAACGTGCCATCTGATCCACTCACCATTTCCCGGGAACCCCACAGCGGCCCGGCAGGACCCAGGCGTGGACTTTTAAGGGCATTTTTCTACCTTGTGGTGGCTGCCGGGTGTATCAGCGTGTAGTTGAACAGGACATAATATTCCTGAGCCCTCCTGGGACGCCTGCGACCCTGAGCTGTGCTCGGCCTCTTGGTCACGGCCCTCCCCATCCTCCTTAGATTTGCATCACTCGAGCCGCTTGTCTGGGCAGCCGCCCCCGGGGCTGGTTCGGAGCCCTGTCCCACCCCTACCAGCTCTGCCCCTGAGAGGAACCTGGACGCAGACCACCAGGAGCATCTCCAGCTCAACGGCCAATCTCCAACCCACACCACCTCCAAACCCACACCACCACTCCTCTCCCTCCTCAGACCCAGGACCTCGATTCTCAGCCTTCGCCCTCTCCCTCCTCCCCGAAGTGACCGGGGATCTTCCTAAAGACCCGATGGTATCTGGGAGCCCAGGTTTGGGATCCGCCGGCCCTGATTCCATACCCCACACTTATCGTTCCTCACGGAGCTCGTTTCTGCCTCTGACAATGGAGAGGAAGCGCAGCCGGGTCGGCACCGCACATAGTGGTTGGAAGGACGGCATGGTGGGGTTCTCTGCACAGTGCCAGGCACACAGCAAATCCCCATAAAAAGAGCTCCTGGAAGGGCTCTGTCGACAGTGTGAGTGGATAGTCTTAGCAGAGGACCACCTGAGCTGGGTTGGTCACAGCAAATGTGAGGGACCAGGAAAAGGGGTGATGTGAGTTTTGGAACCCAGGAAATGATCATCTGTATGTGGCACAGTATCTGTTTTTGAGCCCAGAAGGAACTAAAGGCCCTGGAGAGGCTCTGAACCCTAAAGCACTGGACCTGCAGGGAGAGGTCTTCTGAGGCAGCTTCCTGCGGCCCCAGACAAGGGGAGAGCCAAGTGCTGACCTAATCGTGGCCTTGGGGGCAGGTGTGCATGC